AACCAAATGCACATTTATTGGGCTCAAGACACAGACACCCCTTGGGCAGGAGAACGGATCTTTGGGGAGGAGACGAGGAGGTTCAGGGGGGCAGTACCCGGGAACTCGGAGGGACAGGGGGTGGGCTCTCGGACTCCAGGAGCTGGAGACCCGAGTCCCTGTGTCTGGGATGCAGATAGGCTCTTTGGGGGGTCGTCATAGCCAAGGCCTTGGGAGGGGCAGCAGGGTGCAGCGGCTCCAGCCTCGGGGTGGGTGGGGCGGCTCATTCCGGGGAGCGCTCCCAGCAGCGCAAAGCTGGGGTCCCCACCACCTCCACCCGGTCCTCGGGCTCCCACACTCAGGCAGGGACAGCAGTGGAGGTGCCGAGGCTGGCTTTACACACCGCCACCTCCTGGGGCTGGAGAGAGAGGGAGAGAGACAGTTTAGGTCAGTGACTAGAGCATCCCCTCCCCAGAGCCAGTGCGCCCTCACCCCCACATGGAATCCAGACCCCCAAGAACTGACAGTCTTGAGACAGCACCGGGGAGTTGTCTTGCCTCCCGCTCCCTGTGGTGTGGGCCATACAGGGACGCCTGTGTGTCTCTGCCCTGCCCTGTAGGACACTGTCATAGACGGGAACACACCTGTGAGGACACTCCCTGGGCCAGCTTGGGCTTCTCGGGGCTTCCCCCTGTCACAAAGGGAGTCTCCGCCTCCCACCTGTGCTCCCAGCCTCCTCCCAGCCTCCCCCTCCCCACACCCGGCCTCAGGCCTCCGGCCTCCGGACTTGGGGCACAACAGGAGCTCTCCTGCTCCCACCCACATGGGACCGGCACTCAACTGGAGTGGGTCAGAATCCTGCACATGCCCTTAGAACGGCCCCAGGCATCAGGGCCTCCCCCCCCCAAGTCATCCACAGAGTGTCCCCTTAATGCTTTTAAGTGTCATTAAAAGAAAGTCTCATGAAACACATGAAATCTGCCACCAAATCCCCCCAAATGTTGAGTACCCCAAAGCCCACGTTTTAGTTACAAGAACTTTATAAGAGGTAGAGAGATTCCCATCTGATTCTTCTAAATATCCCTGGAGAGGACGCAGGTCCAATAAAAACAGGTCAAGATATTTTTACATAATTAAAATTAACACTCCCAAGGAGTCACAATCTTTCTCTACATGCTTATCCCCCTCCACGGCCTACATCTCTCTCCATCTCCCTTTACACCTTCCATCCACCTGCACCCATTCTCCCCCTACAGTACCCCCACTCTTCCTACTCCCCTCTGCACCCATCCCTCCTATATTCCACCCTCCCCCACCTCCATCCCCCTCATCCGCACCCTCTCCTGTACCCCCCCCACACCCTCAATTCCCTCTGCTCTTTATCCCTTTCCATTGTTTCATGCTACTTACATCAGTTTTTAAAAATCTGCATTCCATACCTCTCTCCTTTTGTTATTTTGATACCATTATTCAAAAGCCCTTCCTTCACCCATTTCTTCCTCAGTTCCTTCTCTTCTCTCCTGCATTTCATTCTAGATCTTCCAAATTGAACAATTAAGTCTGGAAAACATCTGCTTTCTGCTTCTCTAGGACTCAACTCTGTCTTATTCTGACTGCGGAAGTCCTTTCCCATGTGGGCCCCCCCTCTCTTCCCAGGCTTCTGGCTTTCTACTCGGGGGAATTAGCTCATCCTTGCTTCTATAAGCTTGTGTCCTTGTGTCTGGAGGCTTAGTGGACGCTAGGACATTTGACATCCCACTGACGAGCCACGGTTTAACATTTTGAGCTGCAGGATCTCAGCTCCTACTGAATCTCTCATGTCCACCCATTGGGTTGGTAGCCCCATTCTTAGGGACATACAGTGCAACTCCCCTTTTAATGACCCCTTTCCTGCTCCCACCTGTCCTCCTCCCAGAACCACACACTTTCTCACCCTCACCTGAGGAGGGAAGCTCCGACTTACAGGACTTGCATGTTGGGCTGTGGAAGCAAAGATGAGAAAGAAAAGCAGAGGATTCGAGATTTATTGGGATGATCACTTAGTAAGTTATGTAATGTCTAATTGATTTTTTTTAAAAGAGCCTCAATAGCCACAGGTTTATGTGGAACACAGGCTAGCCCTGGGCCCTTCTGTTCCCACCCCTCTCCCCTCTCTCCCCACTGCTGCCAGACCTCTCAGACCTGGAGTCCGCCTTCCTGCACTTCACCTTCTTGCCTGTTAGGAGAGAGATAGACAGAACAAGAAGACAGGACATAAGGGTCTGGTCGAGAGCCAGCAGGGGAACTCTGCGCCTGGGGCCTGACCGGAGGTGGCCCTCCTTGAGGGTTTTAGATTCCAGGAGAGGGACACACTTACTGATGATGATGAGGATGCCCAGCAGGAACAATATGGTGGCCAGAGTCATGCCCACGGTTTGCACAGTGTCATAGTCTGGGGAAGATAATGGGTGACATCAAGGTGAGGTGGCACCTCAGCACCCTTCCTCCCCCCCCTCCCCCAGCCTGTCTTCAGATTGCCCAGCCAGGGTCCCAAAATTCAGGGATGCTGCAGGCTGTGCTGCAGGCTCCTCCAGTGGGTGAAGATGACATAGCTCCCCTTGTCCTCTCTTCCCTTACCCCCTCCTCTGGACCTCCTTCTACTGCCTCCTCCTGGTCCTGTCCACCATTGTCACCCTTCTGGACTACTGCAGCGAGCCACCTTCTCTGTGGTCTCCTCCCCCAGCCACAGGGATCCTGTTAGCACCTGAGTCAGATCAGGGTCCTCCTCCCCTCAGAACTGCCCCTTCCCCTCCCCATTTTTATTGCACTCCTAGTAAAAGCCAGTCCTCATTACAGTCCACAGGGCCCTGTAAGATCTGGTCTCTGTTCCTTCTCAGACTTCACCCCACTCCACTTCCTCTCAGCCCCCTAACCCCGGGCACACTAGTTTCCCTGCTCTTCCTGGAGCATATCAGGCACGGTCCTACCTCAGGGTCTATGCACTTGCTGTTCCTCTACCGGAAAGATCTTCCCCCAAATCTCCCCCCCATACCAACTTCTGGGCTTTATTCCAATGTCAGTCAAACCTTCTCGGGCCGAAACCGGTTTGGCTCAGTGGATAGAGCATCGGCCTGCGGACTGAAAGGTCCCAGGTTCAATTCCGGTCAAGGGCATGTACTTGGGTTGCGGGCACATCCCCAGTAGGAGATGTGCAGGAGGCAGCTGATCGATGTTTCTCTCTCATCGATGTTTCTAACTCTCTATCTCTCTCCCTTCCTCTCTGTAAAAAATCAATAAAATATATTAAAAAAAAAAAAAAAAACCTTCTCGGGCTGTCCTATTTAGAATTTCCCATCCTCTTCTCAACACTTTAATCTAGTTCTTTCCATTATTTTCCTACATAAGAATTATTCTTGTCTAATTATACCGCAGTAAATATTTTTAAAAATATTAATTTATAGGGCACCCACTCTGTATCAGCAGTGGTCCAGGCCTCTGCCCTCAGGGAGTTGACTTTATTATTGTGATAAAGCACTAAGCAAAACAAAACCAAAAATTGAGTCATGTGACCATGTGTAGGTGTGGCTCCTCTTGCCTGGGATTAGGGAGGGCCTCTCCTAGCAGAGCAGTCAGTATTGACTGAGGCCTGAAGAAGGAAGAAGAGCCTTCACCAGCGGTGTGATGAGCTAGAGGAGGACTGTTTCTGTCAGAGGAAGAGCCAGGGCAAAGACCCTGCGGTGGGAAAGCACTCGGCTTGTGGGAGGAACAGTGTGAGTGAGCGAAGGCAGAGGGCAGGCGGGCTGTTGGGAGAGGGAATAGGGAGCGGGTCTGCTAGACCTGGAGGTAGCTTCTTTGAGCTTCCATGTTGTGGGAAGGAATGATTTAATGGCATCATCCAAGTAAATCTTTCTCACAATTCTTATAGGTGGGAACTATTACTTTCCCTTATTTACAGAAGGGTTCAGAAAGGCAAAGTTGCTTGCTCAAGGCAACACGGCTAGTGAGTGGCTAAGCCAGGATTCAAATCCAGGCAGCCTGGCCTCAGACTTGTTTGCTACTCTGGTGACCCTAATGCACCAGCCCTGAGTCCTGGTGAAGCCTGAAGGAGCCCAGAGAAGGTACCCCAGTTTGATTCTGCCCTCCATGAGCCCAGCTGTTGTGAGCTGTACCCACATGGTCCCATGGCTAGTAGCCCAGCACATATCAGCCACAACTGAAGTCACTTCAGCAGTGACCCATGGGGATCAGCAGCCGCCATCATCCATCCCCAGGTGCTCTTATCACAGAATCTGCCACTCACCATAGTGAAATGGGTCAGGTTCCTGAGGAACTGTAGGAAGGAAGGCAGAGAAAGAGAGAGAGGGGAAAAAATATTTCAACACTGGGTTTCTTAACATATATGAGGATGCATATGGGGCCACTGGCCTAATGGTTTCTGTGTAGAAATCAGATAACGAGAGACGCCTTGCTCTGGGTGATAGAACTTCATGGAAGGACACAAGGTTTGAAGAGTGAAGCACAGGATGGATTCCAGCTCCTACTTAATCCATTGGCTGATACCTTCCCTTGTACAGTCCTAGGCCCTGGTCCTAGGCCCTTGTGGAGGCTTTTGCAAATGATGGATTCATTCCCTGAAAGCACATACATAATCCCACGTGCATATGGTGCTGGAGGTGAAGAGACCCCAATCTCACTGGGCTGCTGAGTGTGTCAGCTTCCCCTGAACACTCCCTGAGACCTCTCAGTCACTGAGCTCCAAAAGGCAGCCACTGCAGCTACTGCTCTCATCCACTTGCTTCTGCTACCAAGTCCAGCACAGGGAGCTGTCCTATAATATACCCTATATTCTGCTATATATAATGTGTTTACATTACTTATTTCTAAGGCATTACCGATTTTAAGATTCATAATTGATTTTGTAATAGCTTCCCTAGTGGATGTGTTATGCATGAATATGTATGTAACTGTACAACATGAAACACCCATCTATTAGAAAACTCACCCTGATTTCATAAATGTTAATGTGTGGGTAAAATATGTATGTGTGTGGATTTTCTTTTCTCCTTGTCCCAAACTATATTCTCCTTCAGGAGAACTCAGAACATCTTTCCCATTCAAGAACCCATCTGATGGCTCCTGAATCCCTCCGACAGCTCTTAGTACAGTCTGCCATGTCTAGGGCAGAATTCTAGGGCACCGCGAGGGGAGGGGTGCCAGCAATGCCAGGTGTTGTCGTTAGTGTTCTTCCCCTTCCAGGCTCAGGGAGAGATGGCTGCCTTGGTGTGGGGGGAAGGAGGCATGTGGCTAATCCTGGTCAATGAACTGTGAGTGGAAATGTCATCGTCACTTCCAGGCTGGAGCATTTAAGAGCCCAGACAAGAGCTCCCTGTTGACTTTGACCTGGTGACAAGAATGTTCAGGATGGTAACCGCTCCGGTGTTCATTGGTGAATGAGGTCCCCAGCTGACCTGTGATTGATGAATAGTATAAGTGAGAAATAAACCTTGGTTGTCAGAAGCCATGAGATTTTTGGTACTATTTGTTGCCCTAAAGGCTCTATCCTAAACTGACTAATACAGGTGGCACTTAGGCAAGACCCTGAAGAGCACTGATTCACACAATGTGCAAGTTCACCCTTCTCCATTCTCTGTTCAGTCTTCAAAGAGGAAGTCTTAGGTAGAGCAATTGGATTATCCTGCTTTTTGTTGTCTGTGTTTCCATATACCCTCCCTACCCAAACCATCAGGAACCCGCTGGGTGAGTGCCTGTCCTAGAATCCTCTTTGGTTCTTCCCTGGCTGCTCTGTGCTCCATTCGGAAGTTCTTCTGGTTCCTGCTACCCCAGCAATCTGGGTTCTCAGGGCTAGGCTGAGCTAAGGGTGGAGCCAGGAGGCAGGAAAAGGAATGTGCACCACTCCTGGCCAGTTGCCAGAGACAAGAGGAAGGAGGTGGTTGCTATGGTAACTGGGGCATCTTGATAAGTGAAGAGAGGTGGTGGGCTCAGGCACCTCAGGCGGGTGGGGTTCTGTGGGAGGCTTAGGGGTTGGGTTTCTAACTCTGGAGCCAATCTTGACTCCCTCTGCTCCCTTTGTACCTCCCTTTGTTGCCCCTCCCCAGGGCTGGCTTCTGGCCAAGTTGAGGGTCCTTCTCAGGAATAAGGGACCCAGGCCCAGTGGGTCTCCTGCATTCCCTGTTTGTCCCCAACTCTCCCTCCTGGTTTGTGACAGGTTGGGGAGAGACTTCACCTTTCTCTCCCCTCCCCTCCCAACAATCCATTATTTAGTTTCCTTAAGCAGTTTGCAAGACACACCGTACTTTTCCTCCTGGGGTTCCCCAAGACCTGTGGTCCCCTCTGATGATGTGACTGGGGAAAAGATGGGGGGGGGGGGCTGAGGCGTGTGTCTTCCCACCTTGGCCCGCCTACTGTCATCGATCCTGCTAACCACCTCCATGAAAAGAAGCCCTGGGCTCCCGCCAGGCCTGCCGGCTCAGCCCAGCCCCCTCTCCCCAGGGTGGTTTCCAGCCTCTGCAGGCCCCCCCCACCCCGCCCTGCTTCCAATTCTGCAGATACGGCTCATGCAGCAGCCCCTGCCTGCCGGGAAAGGGGGCAGGGAAGGAAAGACTGGAGTGGAGTGGGGTTTCCTCGGGACCGCTAGCCTTATCCCCTGGCCCTCTCTGGGCGCTGGGAACCCTTCCTCTGCCCCCAACCCTCAGTTAAACCGGTCTTCCCCTGCTCCTCTGAAGCAGGCTGGGGGAGGGAAAGGAGGCTCTTAGGAGAGAGAGAGTGTTTAAGCGGGTGCATATAACTGGGTTAATGGGTGTGAAATGCACATCGCTGTGGTTGGATGGAGGTGGGGAGGAGCATCCGTGTGCACCAAGTGCACCCCCCAGTCCAGACAAGACCCCTGAATGAGGGCTGGAAAGGAGGGACCTGTCACCCATTCCTGCCCAGGGGGGCTGCTGCAGTAGATCAGGCCCCACCCTGTGCTGCCCCTCCTCCTCTCTCTTCATTCCTCTCTGGCGATTTGGGTCTCTCTCTCTCTCACCTCCTGTGTCATTCTCTCTGCGTCCCTCTCCACAGTTGCCTCATTCCCTCTCTCTCTCTCTGTCTCTGATTTTCTCTCTTTCTCTGCATGTCTCTGTTTCTCTCTGCCTCTCCCCTTCACTCTCCTGGAATCTCTCTGAGTCTCATATCTGTCTTTCTGGGTCTCTGACTCTGGGTCTCCTGTCTCCCTTGATCCCTTTTCTATCTCTCTCAAGCTCAGTCAGTTTCCATCTCTCTCCATCTGTCACTTCCTACATCTCCCTGTCTATTTCCTTTTTC